ATGCACAGTGTGGAGGAGAGTTTACTTGTGTTTAGTTGTGTAGTTTAGTAACTACAGAAAAAAAGTTGAGCCTCATTGTCAGAAAACCTTTGAAAAAATATCAAACAGCACCTACATCACCACATGTTGTTTGGGAGGGTTTCCAGAAAAGAAAAAAAAAAAGAAAAAAATCAATAAAAGAAAAGAAAATGCTCTCATTCAAAAACAAACTCCAGCGTACAGTATTCAGTTGTCGGACACTACTGCAACTTCAAAAATACCCCATGTGTACAATTAAATATACTGCTGTACCTTTAATGTTGTGGACCTATTTTTCTGCCGGAGGTCCCAGACGTCTTATTTAGATGCATGGCATCATGGTTTCTATCAAATAACAACAGATAAAAAAAATCAAAACCTGACTGCATCTGCTAGAAATCTTATAATGGGCCATGTTTGGATCTTCCAACAGGACAATGATCCAAAAACAAACATCAAAATCAACACAAAAATGTGTCACTGAGCATAAAATGCAGCTTCTGTCATGGCCATCCCAGTTCCCTGACCTGTACCCTATAGAAAATGAGTGGGGTGAACTGAAGAGAAAGAAGCACCAACATGGAGCTGTGAATCTGAAGGATCTGGAGTGATTCTGTATGAAGGAATGGTCTCTGATCTCTTGTCAGGTGCTCTCCAACCTCATCAGGCATTATAGTAGAGACTCAGAGCTGTTATCTTGGCAAATGGAGGTTTCAAAAAGTATTGAATAAAAGGGTGTCAATAATTGTGGCCAATGTGTATTTGAGAAAAACCTTTAATTTCATAAGGAGATTTCCCCCCCATTTTCAATTGTTTTAGTTCAATGAAAGGTTAGCTTTTTGTGAATTTTTTTTTAATAAAAGGTCAAAAGAATTAACAATGCAGATGTATTTTACAGGCTTTTTTGTTCACATTTACCAAGGGTGTCAATAATTCTGTCCACCACTGTATTTATGTAACCCCGAAGCATTTTTACTTAGTTACTGTACTTAATTCGATTTTTCAAGTATCCGTTTCAAGCATTTTATCTGAAATATTTTTATTTTGAGAAACTTTTACTTCACTACATTCCAAATATTAGACTTTTTGTTCCATTACATTCCCTAAAAACGCTGTTCCTTGTTATTTGAACTGGAGAAATCGTCACCCATTCCAAGATGTGACAGCAGTGTCCGATTTATGAACAGGCTGTTAAATTGGTTCACTAATCGATTCATTCACGAACTGGACTGATCACTGATTCAATGATCCAGACAGAGCTAGTATCCAGTGAATTCACAAGTCTGACTCAAAATGTGTCAAGAACAGATATCCTTGGAGCTTGAGTGTGCACACAACTGATGGCGTGAAAAGTAATTTACTAATGGCGAATTTTAGGATTAATTCTTTTAAATGAAAATCATATGACTGTCAACTGTTTGTGAACTAAATCTTCTGTTAATGAGTTAGCTGTTTAACAACACTATATGAAATGCTTGAATGGTGACAATTCCACATGTGTATCACTGTCTGAAAACAAAACAAAACAAAAAACCTAAACATAATATTAAGATAACACAAATTAATGCCCATGCATCTTCAAATAATCTTTCAAATAATATAAAACTAGTAAGTTTTACAAATAGCGTTTACACATTTTGTTTTTCTTAATTTTTTTAATAGGCTACTATATGTTATATATGTTTCTGCATCTACTAACCTTCCTTATTGACTAGTGCTGGCTACTTGACAATTCATAATAATTCATAATGATGTCCAACCCAGCAACCACCCCCCAGGTATTCTGAGCAATAGAATTAGCCAATATGAACTAAATAATATACCTTTTTAAATATAAAAGTATATAAGTAAATCAAATGACAAAAATCTTTTTCTTTTTACTTTTAATCCTTAAGTACATTAAAAATCAAATACTTTTACTCGAGTAAAACTGAAAGGGAGTACTTAATACTTTTACTTGAGTAATATTTTATTGGGGTATAAAATAGTATACCCTAATAACGAATGTCTGTAAAAACTAATGTCTTTACTTTTACTCAAGTACATGATTTGTTGTTCGTCCACCACTAGTTTCCAAGCTGGTTTGGCGTGAGTGATAGAATATAACGGGCATTTGCGCTAATGTCAAACGAAAATCTATGCGTTTGATTGGGATTAAAGAGACAGACATGGAAAATGTGCGAGAGTTGGAAGTAATTCAGGCCTAGAATTGGGAACTGTCCTAGTCGCGCTGCTCTTCTCTTGGCTATCAGGAGAGTAACGAACATATTTAACGTGTTTGAGTTCAACTTACGGTCTGTTTAGACGCAAAATGTCTGCTCTGAAACGTTTTAACTTACTTACCGTAACGTGAAGATTAGGGTGTCACAAATGACACCCTAAACCCTCGCGGTCTTGCTCGGAGTCTGCACTTTCGTGCCTTCTTCTTCTTCTTTTTGTTAAATGGCCGTTCACTCCTTAGGAGTATTGCCGCCACCTACTGTATATCTTGCGCACATGGGTGATGAATCTGTACTGAAGGGGAAACTTTTTTTTTTGTAATGCCCCACCCAAATCATTACTTCTTCCTTTCTGTGTCTTCCATAAAACTGTTTTTTTCCTACTGATTTTACAATATTATAATACCACCTACCTGTGCTGCTATTTTCCCATCTTTGTTGCCATATTCTTATTATTTCCCTATTAATTACTGATTTTATCTCATTTCTTCCCAGAGGTACCTTAACATCCACCAAGTTTTCCTTTAAAGCTTCTTTTGCTAACTTATCCGCTGTTTCATTTCCTACTATCCCGATACGTGCCGGTACCCAACAAAAGTATACAATTATACCCTCTATGTTCAGTCTGTACAGTAATGTATAAATTTCTACTAGCAGTCAGTCTCTATCAGTTTTTGTCGACAATATACTTTTAAGAGCTGATGAAGAATCTGAGCAAATTACAGTCGGAGTCCTATTTGGCTTAATCTGTTCTACCCACTGCAATCCTACTATTATAGCAGTTAATTCTGTAGAATATACGGACATTTGTCACTTAACCTTAAACTTATTTTCGTCTTAAATCTTGGAATGTACACTCCTATGCCCACTTTTTGTTTGATTGGGTCTTTAGATCCATCTGTATAGATCTGTATAAAAGAATAAAAATTTTCTCTCATAAAAACATTGATTTCATAACTATTAGTATATCTTCCTTCTGCTTTTTCCCGGGCCTCCAACAATCTCATTTCAACAATGGGTTCAGGAATATTCCATACCGATACCCCATTTAATGGCATGTTGGGACAGATTTCTTCATTCTCCAGACCACAATCCTTGATCCACTGTTCATACTTCCAACCAAAACTATTCCCTCCATTCTTTTTATATTCCCAACAATCATTTAAAATTGTGCGTGTATGATGATTCTTATTAGTACCCTGTAAATTAACCCAATACATCATCCCAAGCTTTTCTCTTCTTAAATCTAATGGCATCTCCCCCATTTCGACCCTGATGGCATCTAGAGGAGTTGATCTTATTGCTCCACAGCAGATTCTAAGTGCTCTGGATTGTATGTTGTCCAGTTTCTTTAATTCTGATTTTGCCGCAGCACCATACACTGCACACCCATAGTCTATACTAGACCGTATTAAGGCTTGATATACATGTAACAGTGCACTTTTCCTTGCTCCCCATTCATACTTGGCTATTGAAGTCATGCAATTTATTACTCCTTTGCATTTGTTTTCAATTTTCTTAATATGTCTCTTCCAAGTTAATTTTTCATCAAAGATTAATCCAAGATCTTTGAACTCTGTCACTCTTTCTAACAATTTCATTTGTTCCATTTTCTTTTTCTTTGTAAAAACCATATATTGACCTTCTTCTTCTTCTTCTTCTTCTTCTTCTTCTTCTTCTTCTTCTTCTTCTTCTTATTTTTGTTCAATGGCCGTTCACTCCTTATGAGTATTACCGCCACCTGCTGTATATCTTGCGCACATGGGTGATAAATCTGTATTGGTATCAAGGAAAGAAAAAAAAAGGAACACTTGTAATGCCCCACCCACCCCAGAGGATCAGAGACCAATTAAGCTTCAGCTGGCGCTGCGTGTTCAGCTCCTCCAGCTTCCACACTGTGCTCCTCAACCTCCGA